CATTGTCCTCAATGGAGGAAAGATAAGGAGGGTAGAACGAAGTTACCAGATCCAGGGTGAATGATGGTGGACGGGGCAGGCGGTGTATTCCAGGAGGAGAGAGTAGTCAGAACACAAACACCACATAAAATCTCACAAAGGTTGAGTTATTGACTCTAAAATCAAAGAACAAAACTGACTCAACCGAAGAGAAATAGGGAAAGAAATGCAAACCGACTGGTTGGGTTGCCTCCCAACAAGCGCTTCTTTCGCGTCTTGAGCTGGACGATGGCTCCTAAGTTTCGGTCCATGCTAGAACCTCCTTGAAGTTGAGGTTCTCGTCGATGAAGTGGAGTCTCAAGTCACAAGCATGTGGTGTGGCAGGTGATGAAGGCTCATGTACTTGATGCAGATGAAGTCTCCACCCTCGAGACCTCTTCTTCTCTTCTCTCTTCTCATTGCCCCAAACCAGATATGACAGCATCGATTGGCCACCATCGCGTCCACCAAGAGGGACCGATTTCGATGTGGCTTTGGTCCGGCAAAGAAACACTGCAAATGGGTCCTTGCTAAGCAGTTCCTCAAAGTTTGGTGGGGATATCACTTGCAACTCATGGCCGGTGCAAGCCTCTTCCACCTCAACTTTGTCCTCAGCCTGGACGCCAATTGCTTCCTCAACCCCCCTTCCTTCTTCAAAATGTGGTCTCTCCCCTAGGAAAAGATCAAGAACCACCTCTTCCTTTCTTTCTTCCTCATCCTCCACAACTTCCTTCCTCATCCTTGCTCGCTCTTCTTCTTCTAGAACAGATTGGAGAGCAAGTCACCAAGCAATTTCTTCAATGGGATCATCTTGCATCTCCTCGCACGGGCCCAGCATGTTAGAGCATAAATGAGGAAAGGTGTGATCTGCAACCAAAGAACTTCTCTGATCATGATTATCATGGGAGTTCTCTGTGATAACTTCTGTATGCTCCTCAACGCTCCCGTAGCCTTTGTCATCCTCCACCTCTTCTAGCGTGGCAGCAGAAAGGTGATCTTGAGCAAGATGTGAGCAAACTTGCTTCACCCACTCTGTTTGCTTCGCTGAGCGCTGAACAGTCTCCTCCATATCATGGAGAAATGAGGGATCGGAAGTGGCAAGGGCTTTGATTTGAAAATCCATCTTGGAGCATGATTTCTCAGTGTCTCGAGCAAACTGCTCCACGAGAAGCCTTAATTGTTTGTTCGGATCTTCCAGTGAAGTGTAGCATGGCTCTGCAGAGTGGCCCGTGAAGGCCGCCATGGGTAACTCCAGCTCCGATGGCCCTTTTGGTTGTGGGAGAAAGTCTTCTTGGTAATGAGGTTGTTCTTGATATGCCCAGGGGTCTGGTTGTTCTCCGTAGAAAGGGGGTTGGTACTGGAACCCGAATCCATAGTCTTCTCCTCCTTGATTGCTGTAGGGGGTCTCGGGGTAATACCACCCGGATGGTGGTGGATACCCTCAATGGTTGGAGAAGCCATGAGGATCCATGATTCAGATCTGCACCAACAAAAACAAAAACACCCAAGTGAAAAGCAAGGGTGGAAAAGAAAAGAAAAGAGAAACGTTAAAGTAACAAACTTCTGCCTTTCCTAATACTCTAGAAAGTCCCCGGCAACGGGCCAAAAACTTGATGCTCTAAAACACAACACCTAACAATGGCCAAGTGTAACCAATGAAAGGGACTGCAGTATAGTGGCACAAGTAATAAATATCAAATCCACGAGTCTCTAGAGTTACTATTACTCAGCTTCAGTTCATTATCTAGCAAACTAGATTAAGGATTGATTAACTAAACTACTCTACCAACTAAACTAAGTAAAACTACTAATTACAGTTTGGGAACTCACTTAGGTATGATTCCCCCTAGCTCCTCAATTAGGTCCAAGTTGCAATTACCTTTGGTTGATCTACTGTTGATTAAACTGCGGAAGATCCTAAATTAGCTTGGAATCTCTTAAGCTGACCAAGCCCTCTCAGTCCAACTACCCGGCAGACGACTAGTCTTCACCAGGATAGAAAGCTGAGGCTATGAACACAGAACTCCACTACTGGAATGAATTCCAGTACAAAGCAATGAATTGATTGACTCTCTCACAACCAATTCACCACTATCAATCAAGGAAGCTCTCTTAACCTAATCAGATTCTATCTATCATAGGTTAAAGCAGAAATCAAGAGAATTTGATCAAGATTCAATTGACTCAATAAATCATGCCTCAATCGATTATAATCAAACAATATAGCATCCAAAACTTCATACAAGAAAGATCCTAACACATGGAACTAGGGTTCCTCAAAACCTAAGTGAAGGGAAGTTACTCCATAGAGAAGAGAGAGACTGCAGAAATCTAATCTAGATCTTCAATCTCCATCTCCAAGCTTGATTCCCGAGCTCCAATGGTGAAGAAATCCTCCAAAATAGCTCCAAGAATGTTCCCAAGTCGCTCTCTCTCTCTCTCTAGGGTTCGTCCCTTGGGTGTTTGGGATCCAAAACCCAGCTCTCCCCTTTCCTTTAGCTGAAAATCGAGTTTTAACCAGCAATTCCCGACTCACACGGGCAGGGCCACACGGCCGTGTGGCATACCCAGTTGCCCGTGTGAGTCAAAACCCTGCGTTCCAATTAGTTCGATCTTCAGGCTTCTCACACGGCCAGGGTCGCACGGCTGTGTGGGAATTCCATCTGCCCGTGTTTGCTCTCGGCGAAACTCGCACGGCCAGGCCACTCCTTCACACGGCCGTGTGGATATCAGGGCAAGCCGTGTTTGCTCTCGCACAATCTCACACGGCCAAAAATATGAGTTGCACGGCCGTGTGAGTTGTGGGTGTGCCCGTGTGGCCTCCTTTTTGACTTGCCTCGCGCCCGATCTTCGTCCAATCGACCCCAAACTCGCTCCCAAGCCTCCATTCACGTACTAGGACCTGAAATATCACAAACAAGCACAACCTAGCGTGAAATCGGCCTAAAACACGAGAAATCACATCTCAAACGGTGTAAGAACAGTGGTAAAAACATGTGTAATTAACGGTCTATCACACAACAAGGTGGAGGATGGTTCGATGATCTATCTTGTTCTGTATGTGGATGATATGCTCATAGTTGCAAGGTCGAAGTCTAATATCCAAAAGTTAAAGAGGCTTCTCAGTGCTGAGTTTGAGATGAAGGATTTGGGAGCTGCTCAGAAGATCTTGGGTATGGAGATTTACAAGAACAAGTCGAAGAAGAAGCTTTTCTTGTCACGGAAGAGCTACATCTAGAAGATATTGTTGAGTTTTGGCATGTCTTCAGCAAGGCCTTAAATACTCCTAGTGCTTCAAATGTTCATTTATCCTCAGCTTATGAACCGCAGTCAGAGGGTGAGAAGGAGTACATGTCGAGAGTCCCACATGCTAGTGCAGTAGGTAGCTTGATGCATGCTATGGTATGCACTAGACCTGATCTTGCACATGTTGTAAGTGTTGTCAGCAGGTTCAGGATACAACCTGGGAAGGAGCATTGGCAGCCTGTGAAGAGGATCTTCTGGTACCTTAAGGGTACACCTGATGTGGGGATTAGATTCGGAAGTGATACAGAGTGCTTGGTGTCTGGGTATTCTGACTCGGACTATGCTGAGATGTTGACACGAGGAGATCGATGACCGGTTATGTATTGACTCTTGGGAGTTCTGTAGTGAGCTGGAAGGCAACTCTGCAGTCAGCGATGACATTGTCTACTACTAAGGTTGAGTATATGGCATTGACAAAAGCTTCTAAGGAGGGAATATGGTTGAAGGGACTGGTTGGTGATCAGGGTCTACATCATGATTAGACAGTGGTGTATTGCGACAGTTTGAGTGCAATATGCTTGGCCAAGGATCAAGTCCACCCTGAGAGAACTAAGCACATCGACGTGAGATATCATTTCTTGAGTACAGAGAAGAGGATTAAGGTGAAAAAGGTTGGCACCGCGGATAATCCTGCTAATATGTTCACGAAGCCGGTTCCACATGACAAGTTCCAACACTGCTTGGACTTGCTGAATGTCTTGAGTGGGTGACTCCGCCCTACGTGACATAGGTGGCGGGAGAGAGAGAATGAGCAGAGTACATCAGAGATTTCAGAGGAAGAGAATTCAAGTCAAGGTGGAGATTGGTTGATGTGACTTGAATCGGACTATCAGCCGTTACGGCTGGAATAGTCGGGGATCTCCTAGTCATCTTATGCCACTTCATTACACAGATAAGAACTAATACATATTGGCCATACCCAACATATGTTCATAATGATTAACTATATTTTTATTTAATACCTTATGTGTCCCGTGACAGAACCAAATTCACGCGGCACGGTATGCTCTAGTGATAGTACCAGAATTTCCAACAATTCCAGTAGTTCTGGCATTAGTGAAGATCCTATGACTAAGCGAGGTGCTTAATCACTTGGCTAAACCTTTCCCGGACTTTAGATTTAGATATACAAATCTAATGGTCACAACAAGGGAAAGACTATTTAACTAGTGATAGGAGTAACTATGGTACTATGAAAAATTAACTTTTATTTATGATTTTATTTATTTTTCTTTTCCCTCTAACGCCGTTCAATTTTCCCACATCCCCTCTTGTTTTTTTTACCAGTCCTCTTTTTTGTACCTTATTTGTATTTTAACTAGCCAAAGATTATAAAGTACCATCACAAAGTATACAAAGCAAAACAGAAAAATATACAAAGTATAAATACAAGTATATTGTTGATGTGACTTGAATCGGACTATCAGCCGCAAAGACTGAATTAGGTTTAGACTCACGTGAATGAAAATGCAGGAAGCAATAATAGATGTAATACAAATCAGAATATAAAAGTCTACAAATCATGTCATGAAAAGTATACAAACTAATATTGCAATATATACAAAAGCGTAATAAAGTATACAAACCAATGCATCAAAGTATACAAACCATATAATAAAATTATACAAATTAATATCACAAAGAATACAAATCATATCATAAAAAATTATACAAACCAATGATACAAAATTTCATTAAAAAGTGTACAAATCATACTCACATTTTATACATAACATACTAACAGTACAAAATACTACTTACAATACAAACCAACAGAACTTGTATTACAATCCAATAAATACAAAGTATACAAATCATAACATAAAGTTTACAAGCTAAACAAACATTACAAACTAGAATCAATGATATAAAAGGCTTACACACAAACTAGAATGATGAAATGGGTACTGATGCAATGATCATCAAAATGGGTAAATCTCGTATCTGACCTCGCAATTGGTGTAATAAAGAGTGGAACCAACGGTTCCGGTGCAAAACGGGTGCAGCAGCCACGGAGCGATCTCCCTCTGGCACAGGATGCAGTCCCAGTCGGTAACACGGCTGTCGCAGAAGGCCCTGCCGTAAAACACCACGGTTGGTGGATCTACTCCGCACTCACCTTCTGTCACCCTGCCGGTGGCCTGGCTAACGACGCCGGCCAAAGAACGCACGCAAGCTTCAAATGCAGGGCCCATGTCCGCCTTGTACTGCTCCCCGTTGCAAACGTATCCAGGAGAATCATCAGCTGCTGCAAAATCATTAGTACCAGTTCCCAGCAGCACGACGACGACCACGATCAACAACGTTGCTATCGCCGCTGCCATTTCTCTCTCTTTTCCCTCCTCCTTTCGATTCGTTTGTAGCGCGGCTACTAACAGTATGATGTGTTATATAATTAAGTAGACAGAGATCGTTAATGACGAAGAAGATCATATGCATGGCCGTAATTAATGTTGTCGATGCTTCTTGTAATCTTCCTTTGACAGATGGCTCATGACCATTAGTGGACAACGGTGCATGCGCTGGCGATTGATAGCTATAAGGGCGAAGATATATATATATATATATATATATATCACGTGTTATGTATCTTAATTTTGTGAAAATAAATGTGTGTATATATATAAGAGGAGAATCTATTACCTAGATCATATCGTTTGGACGAACAGTATATGGTGAATGTAGAAGGTGACCAATGTTTGATGTCTAGAGGTGGTAATTGGATCAGATTCGTGGATTCGTGGATTGAATTGGTGGATCCATGGATCAAATGGATTGGATCCAATGGATTGGTGGATTCATGGATTGGATCAAATGGATTGGTGGATTGTAAAACATGACAAAACGGAAGCAAGAACACGATGATTTATGTGGTTTCCCCGTTCGTGAGAACGAGACTAGTCCACGGAGAACGTGAGTTCTCGGTTTTTCTTATTAGGGTTTAGCAGAATAGAAATCTGCAGCATACAATGGCCAAGCGGCTATCAACCACCTAAATACCCTTCTCACTAATTAATTGTGGGTATTAGGTTAAACAAGGCAAAGTACAGAATGGTCCTCCAATAATGTGGGACTAACAAAACACATCTCAACACTCCCCCTCAAGCTGGAGCATGAAGATCACGAATGCCAAGCTTGGACAGAAGAAGTGAAACTGCTCCGTGCCCAAAGGCTTCGTGAAGATGTCCGCCAGTTGAGAAGCACTCCCAATCTTCTTTGTCTCAATCTCCTTTGACATGACCCGCTCACGAACAAAATAGCAATCCATCTCGACGTGCTTCGTTCGTTCATGAAAGACAGGGTTGGCTGCTATATGCACTGCTGCCTGGTTGTCACAGAAGAGAGTGGTGGGTGTACGCTGAGGGACGCCCGATTCTCCCAACAAAAACCGAAGCCAAAGAACCTCGCTAACAGTACTCGCCATTGCCCTGTACTCTGCTTCAGCTGAAGACCGGGAAACAACACGCTGCTTCTTTGTTCTCCAAGAAACTGGCGCTCCACCTAGCTGCACATAGTACCCCGTGGTGGATCGTCTAGTTTGCTGACATCCTACCCAATCTGCGTCGCAGTATGCTGTGAGCTCTAACTTGCTGCCATCCGGGAAGAACAACCCTTGACCAGGTGCTGCTTTTAGGTACCTCAAGACCCTCGCAGCAGCTATGTGCTCAGGGCTCGGCTGATTCACAAACTGGGATAAGATGTTCACCGCGTAACAAATATCAGGTCTCGTTACCGTCAAGTACAGTAAGCGACCAACCAAGCGTCGGTATCCACTTGCGTCAGCTCCAACTTCGTCAGTGGGACGAGTCAAGTTGTGGTTTTGTTCCATAGGGAAACCACTAGGACGCGAACCTGTTACACCTGCATCCTTCAGGATGTCCAAGGTATATTTTCTTTGACTCAAAATTACTCCCTCATCAGAACGTGCCACCTCAATTCCGAGAAAATATTTTAAGTCTCCCAAGTCTTTGATGCTAAATCTTTCATCGAGGAACACCTTAACTCGTGCTATGAAATCAGTGTCGTTACCTGTGAGGATCACATCATCAATGTAGATGAGAGCTGCAACAAAGCTCTCCTCTTTTCGATAGATTAGTAGAGAATGGTCTGCTCGGGAAGGCTTGAAACCGAGTTCACCTAGTGCCAAAGTGAACTTCTGGTACCAGTTTCGTGACGCCTGTTTCAAGCCATAAAGCGACTTCCTCAGTCTGCAAACTCTGTTGTCGCCTTCCTTTGCAAAACCCTGTGGCACCTTCATATAAACCTCCTCCTCAAGATCGCCATGAAGAAAAGCATTATTGACGTCCAGTTGATTCATAATCCAACCCTTGCTGACCGCAATAGCAATTAGCACTCGTACAGTAACTACTTTTGCCACCGGTGCAAAAGTGTCATGGAAGTCCACTCCCTCTAGCTGGGTGAACCCTTTTGCAACCAGGCAGGCCTTGAAGCGCTCTATTGATCCATACGGCCTATATTTCACCTTGAACACCCACTTGGAATCAATGGCCTTCTTCCCAGGTGGTAGGTACTCCAACGTCCAAGTCCCGTTCTTCTCAAGAGCTGTTACTTCTACCTGCATCGCTTCACGCCATCGAGGATCCTGCACTGCCTGAGCGAAGTAGGTTGGTTCGACAATCTTCGAAATGGCTGCAAGATAAGCACGGTGAGCACGGGAAAATCGATGATAACTAACGTGATTAGCAATGGGATAGGTAACATCTGTGTTTTGAGTGTGTCCTGGGAGTTCGGTCTCATAATTATCAACCAAGTGAGGTGGTGGTCGCCGATTCCTTGTCCCACGCCGCAAAGCAGGTGCAGCATCGGCTCCTGAATTAGCAACCTCATCACCTCCTGCCGTGGTTAATTCATTGTTAACCACCTCATCATGCCCATGATCTGCATGGTAGGTGGGTGCATGGTCACCTTCAGCTTCCTCCCTTGGACTATCTTCTTCAACTGGCCGCACAAGCTCCTCGTCGAAGTCGTCATGGTCCGCGGGAATGATAGAGGAGGGCTGCTGAGGCATCCCACAAGGTAAGCTGGCGGCGGCCTTGTCGGGTTCTGCTTCTCTAAAAGGAAATGTATCTTCAACAAAATGCACGTCCCGTGAGGAGTATATGCGCCTCGACTGAAGATCAAAAACTCTGTAACCCTTTTGAGGAGTCGGATAACCAACAAAGGCACACGGTCTCCCCCTCTCGACGAACTTGTCGAGACCATGAGAAGTGTCTTTGGCGTAAACTAAGCACCCAAAAGCTCGTAGGTGTACATAGGATGGCGGCTTGCCGAGGAGAACTTCATAAGGCGACTTATGACCAAGAACAGCCAAGGGAAGCCGGTTAATGAGATACGTCGCAGTCAGAATGCACTCTCCCCAGAAACGAACCGGGAGACCGGAGTGGAAACGCAATGCCCGTGCTGTTTCCAATAAGTGACGGTGTTTGCGTTCTGCAACCCCATTTTGCTGTGGGGTATTAACACACGAGGTTTGCAAGAGGATTCCATGGCTCTCATAGTAAGCACGCTGATCATGAGTGTCGAACTCTAAGCCATTATCAGTCTGAATCCGCCGAACCTATCCGTTATATTGAGTGTGAACCATCTCACAGTAAAGCTGAATATAGCGCGCAACTTCAGATTTGAATTTCAGAAGATAAACCCAAGTTGCACGGCTGAAATCATCAACTACCGTGAGGAAATAGCGAGAACCATCAAAAGAAGGGGTCTTGTAACCACCCCAAATATCCATGTGAACAACATCAAAACAAGCAGTAGTCTTGATAGAGTGAGAAACAAAAGTTGCCCTAGTCTGTTTCGCACGCAAACAAGAATCGCAATGATGAATATCCTGACAAGAATCCGATAAAGACAAACTAGTTCGCAAATGGGAAAGCTTGACAGGAGATGGGTGCCCAAGCCTTGCATGCCAGAGCTCCAAACTCGGTCCTCTGACAGTAGCTAGAGCCTGAGCCGCGGGTCTCACAGAAGCAACCAGCCCACCAGTGCGATGTAGGTAATAAAGACCATCACGAAGATGACCGAGTCCAATCATAGTCCTGGAGCGTAAGTCCTGAATCACGCAGAAATTTGCCAAGAAGAGCAAAGAAATGTCATGATCTTTAGTGAGACGACTGACTGATAACAAATTACACTTGAACGTCGGAACATGCAGGACGTGATTGAGATTGAGATGTTCATTTAATTTCACAGTCCCAACTCCGGTAACAGGAATGCTAGACCCATTCGGAATGCGAACTGAAGGCAAACCGATTCCAATCTCAATCGTATCCAGCCATCTAGAATCCCGAACAATATGTTCGTTACAACCTGAATCAATTAGCTATTCATAAAGATCAGAAGTATTACCGGCCATGTGTGCAGTAGGCTCGCTAGTAGGGATGGCAACCAAACCCGAACCCACGGGTACCCACCCGACCCAACCCGGTCAACGCGGGTAAAATCCGTATTGACGGGTTTTGGGTCGGGTTTGGGTTTAAACCCGTTCACTATTCACCGGGTTGGGTTGGGTTTGGGTTTTGGTAAACCCGACCCGTGGGTACCCGCCCACACATATAATTAATTTTCTCGGTATATTTAATATTTCAAACAACTAATTTTATTTATGTTTGTGGAGACATGTCTAATTTTTTCTTTCTAATGGTGTAGAATGAAGTTTGTGTTATCGAGTGGAGAGTGAAGAAACTTAATTGAAAGGAAGAAGCCTTCAATTAATCATGTTATTTATGGATAATTTATGATTTACTTCAATTTTCTTGAGTCTTCTAGATTGGTGTTGAACAATTTGTATAGTTAATTTGTGATTTGCTTGAATTTTCTAGAATGGTGTTTTAAATATGGATAATTTGTATTGAGAGATTGATATTTGACTTTAATTTTGATAGGAACTTGTTATTGTAAATTTTTTACGACAAAAACCCGTGGGTACCCATGAACCCGCGGATACCCAGCGGGTTGGGTTGGGTTTGAGTTTTTCAAACCCAGTGGGTTTTACCCCGGGTTTTTTTCACGGATAAACCCATGGGTTTGGGTTTGGGTTTGGCAAAACCCGACCCAACCCGACCCATTGCCATCCCTACTCGCTAGGTGGTACAGGCGGTGCCGAGAGAAATTCCTTGAGCTTGTTAAACTGCGCTGCGGAAATGCCCGTGATAGGACTCTCGTCGCTCTCCACATTAGCAGCCCGAGCCTGCCTTCCATCTCCCTTGGCACGTCGGGGGTTTTCCGAACCGCGATCAGCAGCGCGCCCTTTGCCGTTGCTTTGGGGATACCCAATTAACTTATAGCAACTCTCCCTAGTATGCCCGAGTTTGTTACAGTGGCTGCAACGGGGCTTTTCTTCTCCCACCTCCTTATCTCCTGCCGCAAGGAAGGCCGCAGCTTCAATGGGAGGGCGACGGCCTGCTGTGATGAGGCGTTGTTGTTCCTCGGCAGCTACCAGCTGGTATGCCTCAGCCAAAGATGGGATAGGTTTCATGCTCAAAATTTGAGACCTAACGACG